GATGTGGCAAAAATTATTTTAATGAATTTTCATTTTAAAAAAACATTATCCCAGAAGATTATAGAATCAGGGCTCCAGGACTGTTCCTGTTTGCCCGGTACCACTTTTGCTGCTTGAGAGTGCCGCATTGAGGACAGAAGGAGGAGAAGTGACAAGAACGGTGTGGAAATGTGACACATGACACTATCACACTCCTTTCTGCTCTTGCCGACCAGCTCAGTAATGCACCTCTGGAAGCTCACAGGAGCCTTCAACATCAGCGGATGGAGTGAAGAGCACTTCAGGTACTCGCCATCCTAGCCGCTCACTGCAGCGGGAAGTGTTCACTGCTTTTATAAGTGGCTGGTTAAAAGTAAGAATCCCTTCTGGTAAAGTACTTTTGATGGAAAACTAGCTTCTCTTTGAAAAACTGAAATGCTAGAAATGCGTCGGCTGAAAAAGGCAAGAAACTGCTAATGCAAATGAACTGGTAACGTATGTGAACTTCTACCAGCTAAAGATTAAGAACTGTTTGCTGCTGGGAAAACAACGCTGAAATGTCTTTACAGGGTTCCAGACAGGTTTATCCAGAGAGGATTAAGCTCTGTGAAAAGACACATATTTCTACCAGATGGATTGAGCAAGAAAAAGGATGTAATGACAATATTGCTACCAGATCTAGTGCTGAAGGAGTGATATGTTTGCTGTGTGGCTAGTGAGAACACACTCCTTTGAACCTCATGGAAAGAAAATTGGTTTTCTTTCCTAATCAGGTTGCAAATAGCTTAGCAGTGTTCGCTCAAGGTAATTACGAGGAAATCCAAGCAGCTCCTTGGGCCGAGCTTCTCCTCTGCTAGGACTTCCTGGAGGCAGAGACATCTGTGGGGTAGCAGGGACATCCGCGGTGGCAATAACCCAGGGCACATCAGTGACGACCAGCCAGACAGAGCTTCAGGCACCTCTACCACAGGCACCAGCCCGCAGGCGATTCAACAATTCAACAACAGATGGGCCTGTAATTACAGCCTATTTGAAGGATTTCTAATGCACTGATTTGAAAGCCATTGATTTTTTCTTCCTCCTGAGGAGAATAACAAAGAAACACCTCAACCTCCCTGTGATTCCCGCTGCCTAGTTTTTTGCAGCGTATTCGGCAGGCAAACTGAAAACATTCAGCTTCAGCCAGCCAAACTGTGAACGTAATTGAACAGAGTAACTGTCTTCCAGTCAGGAGCTGAGCTGAATCATATCTTCTGCGAGCTTCAAAAATGTTTGAGATGAATGCAAACCAATCAGGAAGAAAAAAAAAAATGTCCCTGCTGCATGTGGAGCTCCCGGTAGAAACAAAATGTGGAGACCCGACCCCACAGCCATGGCCTTGGCCCGCCTTGGGCTGGGGTTGGGAGATGGAGAGTGATAGATGTTTGTAGGCAGTGTAGTCTGAGGCTCTGAATAGCAAACGGCAGAAAATGAATCCATCTATTTCTATGGTAACATGAATAACTCAGGACTCAACTATAGCTTAAATCTGTGCCGAATTTGAAAACTCCAAGTGATGAGTAGCCTCTCTCACCCAGGCAGCTTCGTTCAAGGCAGTAGTATATTAATGCTTTTACATCATAATGTTAAGGGTGTAATGTTAAAGAAAATTTTAAAAATCCTTAGAGGAAAACATACTGTAGCCTTCAGCAGAGGCCAGAAATGAGACTCAGAATCCACAGCTTTATTCCGCCTTGACTCTCGAAGCTTCAGCAGCTCTAGCCTGGTAGAGCCAACACCTTCCCAACACCACCACCCCAAGCATCGTGGAGTCTTGAAGGGTGAGGAATCAATGTCTCCCAGCTCTGGCTGGCCACGTAACCAAGAACATGCTTCTGTGTTTGCCTCTGCCTCAGACACTCATTTTGGAAAATGAAGCTACTCCTTCACCTTTTGGGAAGATTTTGAAGAGCCAAGGATTCTACTTCCAGCCAGGCAAAGCCATGCAGATACGCCTGCTTTCCAATACTGCTTTTGTTTATTTTGACCTTAATCCTCCTGTGGCTATGAAAAACCTGAATCTAATCCTTAGCACACAATGAATTTTTAGTGCAATGGCTCCAGAAATGAACTGGGAGCAAACCATGTGTCTTCCATGCCTTCTCAGTTTGCCTGTTCCTCTAAACGTGAAAGGTACCTCCGTTGCACTACTTTGGCCCTTCTAATCAGAGGCAACCCAAGGCCTCAGTCTCAACACCTGCATATAGTTCAGGTCAGGCCTGGACCCAAGTCTGTCACTGAGATGATTTATACACTAATAATTCCTCCCTTGCCAGCAATCAGTCTCTGTTCCTCACTGCCAGGTTCAACAGGCAAGGCTGTTGACACAAGTTCCCCAGGACTTCTTCCTTCTAAAAATATTGATCACAACTCATCCTTTCTGTTTCAGCTGAATTTTGACAAGCCAATTTCAGAAGCACAGAAGGAGCGTCATGTGCAACCTGTCTTTACAGTTCCCTTGCAGCAGTCACCTCCCCCACATCGCACATATACAGCATTTAAAAAAGTATTACTACCATCACCTTTGTCAGCAGTTTCATCATCATTCAAGACTACAGTAGGAAATTCACCATTAACAGATCATGTTCTGTCACTGAATTTCTGTATGTGACAAGGAATGGCAAAATTAATAGACTGGTATCCAAGTTTTAGCTCTCTGAGAGGTGTTTTTACACAAAAATTAGAACAAAACAAAATAATGTAATTTGAGGCTTTCAGCTCAATACAAGATAACTCCTCTCTCTGCAAACACAACATAAAAATCCTAAAAGATATATAGAATATACAGCTATAGAATATCACATGCAGCAAAAATGATAGGGCAACTAGAACTAAAAAAAATACTGTTATATCACAGTTACATGCTTGTCTTCCACACAGCTCATCTGCCTTACACATCAACCCACACCATGACAAATCTGGGACATCCTACTTCCCACACACCTCTGAAGATCCCCGCAGACCATCAGGTAGCACAGCGAAGCACACACCTCTGGGCTCAGCTACCTATTTTTGGGAGTCAGGGGCTCTTTTTTCCTCCCCGTGTTTATTCTGTGGCTGTCATAATTGATCTTCAGTCCCTGACTTCAGCCACTAAATGCATGATAACAGGTAGTGTTCTCAAATAGCCTTTGAACTCACTCCATATGGCTCTGAAATGGAGTGTCATTGCGAACTGAAGTGGGTAAAGAATTAGACAACTTTGAGGGCTTTTGAAAATCCTGTTTTTATCATAGTATAGAACCTGTTAAAAATGCCTTTTGCAGGTGTTTCTTTAGTAGGAGACTTGTTTTACTTAGGGAACCTAGTAACTTCAGTGTATTCTCAGCAACTTTTCATATATATACCATAAATGATAATTCAATGTATGAGGGAAACTCATTAAATTAGCCCTATTTTGATTCAAGCTGATATTCACAGTGGGGCTATTGTATCACATTTTGCTTGGCATGTTTTCAGGGAAGGTAATCAAAATCTCCTCTTCTCTTCTGCTTATCATCCCAACCCTGTTTTTATCAGATGACTCTCCCCATTGTCATGGCAAGAGCAGACTGGAGTCTTAGTTCAATTTAGCAATACATGACCACAAATACACCAGCAGATTGGATTAGAAAGCGACATGCCAAAAGCAGCTTTCGCCTCTCCTTTTTGCATTCACACATCTGACTCAATCACAGGTCTCTAATTGAAAAGCCGCAGCAGTGGATTAAGATCATATACATTATTACAAAGCACGACGCCCTGTGCATGCTGATGAATCCAGGAGCGCCTGGCAGGGCTGGGCTAGCCCTGTGCTGGGCTAACCACACAGCAGTTGTGCAGATCACACCCTGCTGTATACAGGGATAAACACCTGAGCAAGCAGGATTGGATAAGAAGGGGTGTCTGCATGTGTAATACCGGAGAAAGGTTGCAGATGGGGAGCTGTATATAACACCCTCCTTCACTTGTTGCATTATAGGGTGAGATATTTCAGACCCGTACTGCCCAGCAGAACCCCAATGAAGTCAAAGGGACTTAGACAGTGAGGAAATCAAATGCTTGAGAGTCTGTATATTAAGCCCTGCATCTCTCTCCTAACTAATAAACTTAGAGCCTGATTCATAGCCAACTGGAGTCAGTGGTAAAACATCCCCACACGGGATTTCAGCTGCCGGTTCCCATCGAGAGACAGGATGTGTAATGTGAGCCTGCCACTCAGTCTTCCCCTACGCTCAGTGCCCAGAGATGGGGTATAAAACAAATGTGATGAACACGCCAGTCTCTTCTCATTGCCCCCGAAGGAGCGTGGACGATCAGGTGTTCCCCTTTCTGAGGACGAGCAGGGCAGTCACCTGCGCTCTGGGAGGGGGGCTCACGCCAGGCGAGTCCGCAGAAGTCTTTAAAAGGCCTTCTCCGAGCTGGAAGGGAGCTAGACCGGGGGAGGAAATGCAGCTCTCCTGCGAGAGCCCTTTCGCTTGTCCGCGGGCACGCAGCCCCTTCCAGCAGCAGCCGCCCGCCCCGCACGGCGCAGCCCCC